CATTCTATAATTTTACCGAAAAAAATCTAATTCAAATATTAACAACTTTCACAAGTCGCGAGATCGAAAGTTCACAAAGTTTTCAATCATCTCCCGCGTCACATGTGAGTATTAGTAACACTTAATTTAATTAATGTGCAAAATTTTGATTTCCTAATACCAAACAAAATAAAACTTCCACTATATCTAGTATCTCTAGGCATACTAATCACAATTAATTTCATATCACACATGTTCTTTAGACAAAAATACAAACAATTTAATCTAGGGATATGACATTCTAATTTAAATCGTGCTAAATAACGAAATAAATACTATTGATCAATATAACCAAAACACCATATCACTACAGAAGTTAATAAATTACAGTAACTTACGAACATATATGCCAAAAATAATAACTTGGAAGAAAAAAAAAATGTGGGTCCCTTGAACCCATTTCCATGAATGGCAAACACCCAACTTGGAGTTTCTGCCTATCATACGTCATCATTGTATTTTATGCAATTTACAGCCATATGTACTACTTACATTACACTTGCAATAAAAAAAACTTCCAAGTTTCCCCTTTTTTTTTTAATTGAGAAAAAAAATAATAGTGGTCATGAGGAAAATCAAGTGCAATTTTGATTCTGAAAGGAAAAACATAGGTCTCCTATCGCCCACATGTTTCCAACATGTATTTTTTTTTGTTTATGCCTTTTGAATGGTTTGATATTGATGATACTTAAAATAAATTTCAAATGCTAAGTTCAGGAGGTCAGCTTGGACTAAGAGGTCAGACACATTAGCAGAGGTCAGAGGGTAAGGGCCGAGTGTCTCTTAAGGCAAGATAACAGCTGGATAACCACGAGAGGATCCTAAAGCGTTAGGAAGCTAAAATCATGGCACCCAATCTCAATCAACCAAGATCTTCTGCTAGAATTAAGGAGAAGCCCACAAAATAAGGGCAAAATTTTCGACTAAAATCTTTCTTAGCAGATAATGGTCTTATAAATGCAAGGTAACACCCCCTAACAAAAAAAAATCCCGAGTGGCAAAAAGAAGTCATAGCAACCTTGTAATCACCGTGAATAAAAAAAAAAGTAGCAAAAGCCTCCATTCCAGAGTGGACTAGCTGAAATCTCAAGCTAGTGAACCACTATAATTCTGTTGTCTTAACTTCCAAAGCCCTGGATATTATGACATCATCTTAGCAACCTAACATAATCCCAACTCATCTTTTGTAAAAGTGCATTAACACCATCAGATATCATGAATTCATGCATAATTTGTTGAGAAGTTATGAGGATCAGATTTGTGAATGCGACTCATAGTGCCACTCCTAGTTTCAGGGCCAATCTAACAATGTCGATTTTTAGTTTTTCAAATCAGATGTTTAACCTTAATTTTTTCTCATATGCCACCCAAAAAAAGGAGAACATCCCAATTGACTCTGATACAAATGTTGAAAATCATAAAATATATTGTAAAAGCGTATGATCAAAGACATACCTTAATTGATTTAATTCTAAAATCTTTGGAGGATGTTTCACCTGCTTTAGAATTTGAAAACCGTATTTCATTTGATTGCTCAAGCAGTATAGTGTTATTACACAAGCCGAATCAACACCAAATTTTCATAACATAAAATTTTTTCAACGTTATGTAGGTAGAGAGAGAGAAAGAAAGTAGGAGAGTTTGCAATTAATTATCAGATGCGCCTTCTATTGGATTTACTCAAAGTTTATATAAGCAAAATGGGTGTTATGAAGAGACATATAGACATGTCTGTTAATATTTAATAGACATATATTTTGGATGGTACACCTCCAAATGTCATGTCTCTTATGCATTTTTTAATTGGGTCAATGTACCATGGGTGCCTCGATTTGGGTCCATGACCCAAACCCAACAACAAACAGTATCTCAAAAATCTCATCCTAAATGAGTTGGTACCTTTACGCACTACATATTTTATGAAAAAATGATTTGGGGGCTCACAGTATGTGGTGTGTGAAAGTGTCAATTCATTTGAGATGGTTTTTTGGGATACAATTTGATAAGCATAGTCTGCACCTCCAAACCACCCAAGTTTTTTTTTTCTACGGTAATGAGAAATTGTTCCAATCACGTGGGTTTTGAATTTGAGGTGGCAATTAATACAAACTCGGATACATGACTTGACCTATTATCTAATCAGATGAGAGATTCCATGAATTCATTAATGGTTCAAAGACTAATCTGGCTTCTTTGATTAATGCCTATACCAATTTTGTGATGGAATGTTTATTATGTAATAATACCATCTAACTTTTGGTGTTGGGAATCCTAATCAATATTGCATAAAACATAGCACTACAAATACAGATTAATTTCTTCAAGTATCATCATTATACCCACTATATTATTGAGCATTCTACACATTCCGTGACGATAATGTTAGGTGTTAAGAAATCGTAGTTCCACTTTTTTAGGGTAAAATATCAAAAATGTCTTACTTTTTGTAATAAAAAAGACATTGAGTCCTATCATATTTATATTAGGACAATCAAGTCCATTTTTTATAACTTATTCCAAATTAGTTCGATACTCCATCAATCATATTTTAATTCCAATTTTATTCTTTCTCTTTAACTATCTATTACACCTTTTTAAAAAAATAATTTTTCATTACCTTTTGGTTCAAGATCCCGTTGAAGTGCAGATGATGGCAACTGAATTTTGTAGTCAATTTCGGGAGGCAGTAGGTCAGCCTCTAGCCGAGCATATTCCCAACGTTGGGTGGCTTCCTCCAAGAGCAGGTACTTTCAAAGTAAATTTTGATGCCGCTGTATATGCAGATCAGAATGTTTTTGGAGTGGGGGTTGTCATACGTGATGATAGGGGGTATTTGGTAGGGGCAATGTCCAAGAGGATTGCTATGAGTTGTGATATTGGACAAACAGAATCTATTATAGCGAAAATTGCAATACAATTTGCAAGGCAACAAGAATTAGTAGAAGTCATTATGGAAGGGGATTTGATAAGTGTTATGAATTCTATAAGGAATGGTGATAGAGATCTTGATCCTCTCGAAGCCATTTTCCAAGATATTAGCAACATAGTAAGGAGTTTCCAATTTTTTGAAGTTTCCGAAGTTCTACGCAATGGGAATAATGTAATTCATGAGTTATCTTGTTTTGTTTTACCATTAAATAGTAGCGTAGTTTGGGTGGAACAGGCACCAGACTTTATTATGTCTTTCTTTTTTGCTGATATTCCTGAGTAATATAATATTACCAATGTTTCTTAAATAAAAAAAAAAAAAAACAACTACCTTTTTGTTCATAATTTCTTTATTTTTTAAAAATTAAATATAATCTCTACCTCCATATGCATATGATTTTTTGTGATATTTTACAACTATATCTAAAGCTACAATTTTTAGTTAAAACCATATACAAGAAAATTTACGACTCAATTGGATTTTGTCATCAAAAATAGGAGTTATTGGTTACTTTTATTTTATGCTTTTTCAATTATAAAAACTTCTTTACTTTTTGATAAAGCAGGAAATACTACGATTATTAGACTTCATTTGTTGATGTAGTTATCTTCTAAAACAGGTAGGCAGGCAGTCAGCTGCATAGCTCATCCCCAAGTGCTCTCAATATAACCAAATAATATATATATATACACAGCAATTTTCTTGAAAAACTTGTTATCTCATCCAATCTAGGAAAATTCAATGTCAGTAGGTCAAATTTGTAGTGAAGATAATTCTTGAACGAGCCATTTATCTGAGTCTTGGAAGATTACATCTTGTAGAAATGGCTGTGACACTATTAATACCACTCTAGATGCTATTAAGGGGTGTTTGTGCCTTTCAATAACCGAAGGGGACCAAGTAGCAACAGCATTATACGATATTGGGCCATGGCAAAGGCCGGACCAGGGTAGGGATGCAATGCTATCTATCTGTTGTTCTCTGAAGGAATAGGAATGTGTTTGGCAGTTGGACGGGAGGTGGTGGGCCCCTATTTGACAAGGCCGCCAGACACAATCTATTGTGAAAATTGATTGCAAATCTAAGGCTACTTCTATCTAAAATTGTATCTGAAACAGTTGCTTCAACTTTTATAAAATCAGTAATGGCAACAGCTCAAGTCTCTATGGCCACTGCATATTAGACGATCTACAAGTGACTATAAATGAAAAGGAAAACAAACTCGGTTTTCATTTCAAAATCCCAACAAAGGGACCTCTAAAAGAGGCACTTGAACTTGAAATACCATATTTTCCATAGTTCAAGTAGTGAAATTATGCAGAAAAGTTGGACTTCATAATTTTTAAGATGATTCCATTTTGTTTTGATTACTATCTTGTACAAAGATTTGACTCGTTTCTGATAAGTTGTTACTGGCTTTTCTCTGAAATAATTATTTAGAGGCCAGCTTCTCTGGGAATAATGTTCATGGCTGAAAATTTTAAGACTAAAATGCTGGGAATAGCAAAATTTGCAGATGATGCCTTATGTTTGGCATAACGTCAGATTACACCATTGTAACTTGAGCGTCAAGAGTTCAAGTCACGAAAATAGTTTCTCTGCATACATGCGAAGTTAAGGTTACATCCATCTGACCTTGCCCAAACTCCACAATAGAAGGAGTCTAATACTGAGCCACCTTTTGAACAAAAATTCCCTTGTTGCATATTTAACAGAAAAGAACCTCGGAATAATATGATCAAAGCATTTTTTTCAGTCAAATAGGCTGCTTATAAAGCATACTAAACCATACCAGTCATGTCCATTTTTACTTGGATTATACAGGTTTTCATACAGATACACTTGGCCTAAGGCCATACACAGTACATACCATACGAGTATACGACAGTCGCTTATACGCACACTGCTGCATTAAGCAACATTCATGCAAACCTTAGGTAACAAACTAGTGTCACAACAGTGCCACATTATTTCTATTACCCTTATGCTATGATTAATCATACTTTGTATCACATTGTGTCTTCTGAAGAGTTCAATGGGGGCCGGGGCGGTTGTCATCTGTAAAGACATGGTGAGTCTCAGTAGATGAACCCGAAGGATTACCATAAGAGCCATAATTATCGTTGTTGTCACTTTCTTTGTTGTTGTTGTTGCCGGCTGCATTCTTGTCAACTGCTGGTACTGACCCCTTTACCGGATTGGCTTCCGTGCCTGACTTTCCGGGCTTATCTATAGGCTTGCTGTCTGTTGCTCCATTGTTCACTGATTTTTCACCAGGCTGTGCATCAGGTATAAGCTGATTATTGGCTCTCTCTTTCTTCACCTCCTCCAAAATAAACCTTTTGCCATCAGCTTGAAAACATGACAATACTGACCCAACAAGGAATAGAGCTATGATCAAAGACTTCATGATTAGACTGCAATTAAACATCAATAATGGATACTATTAGTCATTAAAAGTGCTGAAAAGTGTAACTAAAAGAATAATTATCATGAAACTTCATTCCAAAGGAACTGAAAGACCTGCTTGTTGATGTACCTGATTTTCTTTCACCCAAATGTAATATGCTAGTGAATATCGAATCCACGAAGCATAATTTATAGGAGAAGATATTTAATTATGTGGTGGCTAATCCTGATTAGAGGGGAGGTAAGATAAGATCGGTGGGCAATAAGTATAGTGGAGTAACCACAATTTGGTGGATTTACTGTGCCTGTCTAGGAAAGTGGCAGCCAAAAAATGTGTTAAAAATTCCGAAAGTATTACAGTTCTACTTGAATTTTATCATTTTAGATTGATTATATTTCCATTTGGAGGATTATTCAACAAAAATGCCACTTGTAACCCATAGTTTGCTCACTACTCGCCCATAAAATGTGATGATGACCGGTGGATGACATGGAAATAATGTCATCATCATGAATAATTATTTCACAATGCCATTTATAGCTACGTTGAGTTACCCACTTGGTCCCAAAAAAGATTGAGATAAGTTACCTCTCAATTATGTTTTTTATAAACTTGAGATTGTACCTAATAAGTTGGGATTAATTCTAAGTTGCTTGTATAGTTGTTAACTCGAATCAATTGAGTCACTACTTGGTCACCTGATTGATTCAATACTTTTGATGGAATACTATAAAATAATTTTTGATAATCCCAAAATCCCTATAATTTGAAGAACTCTTGCAGTATCGCTCCTGTTTCAATCCCCAAGTAAAGTTCCACAGGTGTGGTTGAAAGGAAACTCTACCTTGATTAATAAGTGATGCAATACGGTGGATAAAAATTTTGGTAATTGTGCGTGCTAGATCTTGCACAATATAAAAACGAAAACTGATTTCTCCCTTGGTAAACTCTAGTGAGTCAGTTGAGTGGTCAACCACGCTGCTTGGAACAGCCTGTGAGATCCGGTGGTAACCTGGAACAGTAATGGGAGATCCTCGCGGATCAAATGAATGATCCAGTAAGGCTGAAGAAAGGTTCCTGGAACAAAGAAGAACAAGTTAGAAGGGCGCCGGAGTATTTTCCGGCGTATCCCCTCCGACGATCAAGTCAGTTATTGAGAGAGAGGAAGAAGAAAACACTGAGTATAATTTGTAGCAAAAGTTTCACCTCTCTTTCCTTGCCTTTAGTGAGGAGTATTTATACCTCAAATACTCATGATTGCTGTCAGTGTGGTCAGTAGGTGATCATTAGATACAGGCAACGTGCGCACTGATTTCTATGAGGAATGTCTTCTCTTTTAACTGCTCGGGACCCCGAGCAATCAAGACTGTGTCATCGGCCTGCCGACGGTTCAATGAGCTCCTATCGGGGAGGATGCAATAAATGTCCAGCCTTAGAGACATTTATTGTCTTTCACTTCCGAGCCTTACCGCATTGAATGCAGTCTCATCAAGGGAATGGTGTAATTAAATGCTTGTTTTCCCAAGTCGCGTGTCAGCAAGGTCATGCGGTCTTTCTGTCTCTGATGTGACACAATATGTCACGCGTCCATTCCCCATTGGTTGTGGTCCCTGCCTTCCTGTGCCTTCTGACACCAATTGTGTAAGACGAGGTCATGATAGCTAACCTAGCCTAGCCTAGGCTAGTGACCAGTGCATCAATAGCCTCTGCTGGAGCAGAGAACTTCATCCTGGATGAGGGGGTACATCTCGGTACCGAGGAAAGAGGTACATCTCGGAGCCGAGGAATAGGTACATCTTGAATCCGAGAGGGGGAGGCCTAGCGACCGATGTACCATATCAGACCGAGGGTACGTGTCGGTACATAAAAATGTACTGAATACCACTCGATCCCCATGATCAGTACCTCGGGGGGAGAGGGGACTTGTGACCCGATGGGTACGTGATCTCGGTAACAAGGATTAATGACACCGAGGACACGTGTCTTCATCTCGGAGTATTTCGAAAATGTCTCATCAACTGCCCCCCAGCCTTCGATCTTCTGACACCGAGGACACGCATCGTAAGGAGACGAAGGGTTTTACAACAACCCCAACTGCTTCATCATTGCTTCTAGCCGTTTTCCCCTGCTTAGGACGTCGTGCGCATTAAATGCGCCTTTTCGTGCTTCGCGCCCAATGATGGGATAGGTGCTATATATAAATGGGCTTCCTCTCTTCTTTTCTTATTTCATCGTTCTGAACTTTTCTTCACAGAGCCCTTGCCGGAGACTTCGCCGGAGATCCCTTTCCTTCCGTTGTCAACTGTCCAACCATTTCACCGGAGTTTTAAGGCCAGCAGATCCATCCTTGCTTCTGAAACATTCTAGAAGGAGTCGCTTCAAATTTCTCAGAAAAAACTTCTTTTTACATTCTGGTGAGTCCCAGTATCTTTCCTTTCTTCGTCCTTCTGTCCCTTTTGATTTTTCGATAACTGGAGGTGTCTCTGGTTGCCACTTAGCAACCAATCCTCGGGAAGCTTCCTTGGGAACCTTTAAGGAAAAAAACATCCCCCACTTTTTCTCACTTTCTTCGAGATGCCTCGTCGTCGCCCTGCCCCCCGAGAATCCTCAGGCCAATTCTACGGGGTCAGGGAAATATAAAGTAAAGGGTAGTGAGCAAATTAATAGGTTTAAGGTCAAGTACAGCATCCCACAGTATGTAGACATAGAGGATTATAACCCGGCTGTGCACCCTCGTGCCCTCGGTACCGAGGGTGCAATGCCCTTTTATACCAAAGCCATCATAGAAGGCGGAATTAGATTCCCTTTGCCCCCTCTACTTCTCCAGTTCCTCTCCCATTTCCACCTTTTCCCGGGCAGTGTTGCCTTAATGTCTTCAGGATAATTATGGGGGTCCTAGAGCTTAATAGGCGTCTCGGGGTGAATGTTGGACTGAATGATATCCTTTTTTGCTATTCCCTCTTAAGAGTCATGCCTCAACAACACTTCTACCTCAAAGCCAGGGACCCATCTATGTACCTCGTAACTCACCTTCCCGACTCGGACAAGGGGTACAAGGATGACATACTTATTTTCAAGGGATCTTGGCAGAGAGGTGTCGGTCCCGAGTATAACGGCTTGTTATGCCCTTTGGAATGGAGAACGACAAGTACGTCGGTTCCTTCAGGTCTATTATTTTGTTTTTGAGATTTTCTATGTTCATGACTCCTTTTTTGTTTGTGCAGACGTCCCTGCTCGGGAAACAGCTCCTCCCCCTCGGTCGTTGGTGAACTTTGCCGACCTAGTCACAATTTGGAGATTTACTGGTGACGACAGGTTCGGCCGGGCTGCCCACATCCTCCTGAATTACACTCCCAGGTATAAGAAGTTTTCACAGCTTCCCCAGCCTTTCGAGCCTTCGCGGTGGTCTGAAATCTTTGATCAGGCGGTGGGACAAGAGGGCGAGGAGAATTTGGAGGAAGACCCTGACCGGGCTTCGGAGGCAGAAGTAGAGGGTGAAGTTGAAGCGCTCGGGGTCAGAGAGGACTTGGTTCCTTCGCCCGCCGAGGTGGGGACTTCGGGGAGAGATTCGTGGCCAGACTTCCAAATTTTACAATCTCTAGACGCCCTCAAGATAGCCATGTCCAGCACGCCTCGCATTGATCTGGGGTTCCTAAGGCAGAGGCAAGCCCTTGCTGCCGGGGGGGGAGGACGAGGATCGACCGGTGGGGCCCCATCTGCAGGGACCAGCACCACCCCATCCTCAAGAGTCGTCAGTCGGGGGCAAGTGCGTGACCGGGATCCTCAGGTAGAGGAGGAGAGAAGGGTCAAACATAGGCACGATGGCCTTGGCAGGGGATCCAGGGCACCCTCCGCTCAGCAGCAAAGTGGGAGAGGCCGTGGGTTACCTTCTGCTCCTCAGCAACAACAGCAACAGCAGCAACAACAGCAACAACGGCAACAGCAGACTCCTCCTCCCCTTCCGCCGACAGTGGAAGCCGCGGAGTGGAATCCTCGAGCCACTGATCACATGAACCGAGTGATCAGGGTCGACGACTCCATTTTGCAGGACCCCCATGTCGCCAATGCAGTGAGTGAGACGCTGCATTTCGAGGCCGACATGGTGGCTCACAGGGGGCGATCAACGAACGTGTTGTTTCGCTCTATCATCCAGAATTCCCTGGTGGTAAGTTTCATCTTTGCTTCAGTCTCTTCTTCTTTTTTTTTTTAGCCGCTTTTCTTTTTAGTGACGTGCCTTTTTCCTTTGCAGGCCACCCAACAGATCTCCATAATAGCGGCGCGGTATCATGGGGCTAGGATGGACTTCCACCAGGTCCCAGAGCAGAAGGAAGAAGCGGAAGGGGCCCTTGCCAGTGCTAAGGAGGACGTAGCTGCCAGGGATTCCACCCTCGCGGGCAGGCTGCTCAAATCGAGCAACTCCTCAAGGATGCCGAGTTGGCTAAGGTCAGCGCTGAAAAGCTAAGTGCTGCCCTTGCCGACGCTGAGGGGAGGATCACAGAGCAGACGCAGCGGCTCTCTGCGGCGGAGGAGAGGGCTGTTGGTTCAGAGGAAAGCTGTCTGGCTCTGACCCAGGAGCTGGACAGGATCAGGGCCGAGGCACAGAACAGGAAGTCCGAGGAGCAACTCCGAGAAGAGTTCGCCGATGACGTGCTCCCCGCTCTTGAAGAAAATAGCAAGGAGTTCTTCAAGAAGGGGTGGGACGAGGCGCTCCAGTCTGCTGGAATCCCGTCAGACTCTCCGCTCTTCCAGATGCACAAATACGTGCCCTCGGCTGAGATGGAACAGGCCGAAGCCGAGATTGCTGCCGAGGGCGAGATTCCAACGCCGGTGCAAGTTTCGGCAGATCTGCCTGAGGCGGTAATAGTGGATTTGTCTGATGAGGCCCTGCCGGACCAGGCCCCTGACCATAATATTCCTCAGGGTCTCTCTGTTGCCGAAGTACCTCCCACTCTGCCTGCTCCCGAAGCTGCTCAACCTTTCTACGCCGATTCGCCCTCGGCGGATGTTTTGGAGATGCCCGGGGCAAGATGAAAACTTTTTTCTTTTCGATTGTACTTCTTTTTTTTTTTTGTAGCTCTTGGGGACGCAAAGCCCCTCTTTTTGAAATAAAGCTTTTGAGTACTTAATACTTTCTTGCGTACACTTTTTTGCATAGGATTCCTTGAACTGTCTTCAGGGCCTTGCCCTTTCAAGAGGCTTGCTCTCGTGGTTGTTTCGGGGCAAGAGTCCTCGAACTCTGTCCCCAGGGCCTTACCCTTCCAGGAGGCTTGCTCCTGTGTTTGCTTCGGGGGCAGGAGTCCTTGAACTCTGTCCCCAGGGCCTTGCCCTTCCAGGAGGCTTGCTCTTGTGTTTGCTTCGGAGGCAGGAGTCCTTGAACTCTGTCCCCAGGGCCTTGCCCTTCTAGGAGGCTTGCTCCTGTGTTTGTTTCGGAGGCAGGCACTGAGGGAGATAATACTCAAAAATAATATTTCTTTAGATTCATCACATTCCACGGTCGCATTACAAGTTTTTCATCCATATCTTCTAATCTATAT